GGATACGGTGATATCCTTCATGATTTTATCTTTCCACCGTAATTTGATACCGTGAGGAGGTCTCTTTACATCTTTGAATGAAGCGAAGAGGGTCTTCTTTGTTAACATCGGACCGTTTTGATCGTTATCCATACGATTAACGTGACCAAACCAGCGTAGTCTGTTCCTTCTCAAGATGTTTTCAAGTGCTGGTTGTCCCGTTAACTGAAGTACAAGATCATTCTTCATTCGATCGCCAATAGACACTCCAATTATTACCCTTAGACATTTCATATAGAATGCTTTTAAGCGTTGCTCTTCGGCAATCGTCAAAGACCATAATTCACTTCCGTACAAAAGTACTGGGAGTACTGATGCTCTGAATATTCTTATTTTTGCCTGAGTCGATATACATTTTCGATACCACACAATTCGTCGGAGACTATTGAATGCACTGGATGCTTTGCTTACGCGCGTTTCAATGTCTTTATGTTGTGTTTGATCTTTTGATACATAGCATCCAAGATAGTTGAACTCTTCTGTTTTTTCTATTTTTTGATTGCGTATAGTGATGTCCAATGGTCCATCATCTATCTCTGTTCTATCTTTAGAGTTACATGTTGACTTTTGAAATTGTCTTAGAGACATAAAGCATGTCTTTTTGATATTCATAGTAAGACCAAAATCTTGTGTGAATTTTTCGAATGCTTTTATAAATTTTTCTAGATCTTGAGTACTTTGCCACATAACAGCAATGTCGTCTGCGTACATGAGAGCTAATAGCTTTACATCATCGTTATTTCCACGACCTGAGTACCATAAATCTCCAAGACGATAATTCATGGTGACACCTTCTGTTCCAGCTTGTTCAAGTATTTGCCGCATGACAAAATCAATGTAGACATTGAATAAGATCGGAGATAGAAGACATCCCTGTTGGACACCAGTATTCATTTGGATACTCGAACTGAAGTCGCCATCAATTCGTACTTCAGCTTTTACATCTACATATAGAAGTTTGATCCTTTTTAGCATTTTATCAGATAGTCCATATGCACGACATACTCTCCATAGAGCTTCACGGTTAACCGAATCGTACGCCTTCTGTAGATCGATGAAACATATGTGCAGTGGTTGATT